AAGAGATCTTTATGGCCCCAAGAACCTGTCGCAACTGAACAAGACCACCTCAGAAATCCTAAACACATGGAACACTAGCATAATGCATTTCAAAAGGACCTCGGACCTTCCTTAGAGCCCCGAGGGCCTCACCCAAAATCCACCAGGACTTCCTCCCAAGTTACCCACCAGCTCCTCAGTCTCTAAGAACCCCCTCCCACAGACTCCAAATATCACCTTACCTTGAGCACCTCCCTGGGCACCTGAGCAGGGGGTGGACGGCCCAATGTATGGCCCCCAGCAGAGACACCAACCACAGAAATGGCAGGGGAGGCAGGTGCAGGACTGGGGAAGGGAGCAGCTGCAGCCTGTTCCCGGCGCTCACGCCTCTCCTGCTCTTGGGCTTGGGCTCGCATTAGCTGCTGCCGCAGCAAGACCCGTGAAGAAGAAGATGATGACATGGCAGGGGTCCTGGAGCCCCCTGCAGAAGATGATGCAGAGAGTGTAGCTGGGGTGGCCTGTAGTGATATTGGGAGGCTGTGGATGGGAAATATGGGGCCACAAGTAAGCTAAAAATCTTATCCCAGGGAGCTCTGGTGGCGTAGTGCCTAAGGCATTTGACTGCTATCCAGAAGGCTGGCGGTTCAAACCCAGCAGCCACTCCTTGGAAGGAAGACTGGGCAATCTACTTCCATACAGATACCACCTTGGAAACCCAAGGAGGGGTCGCTATAAGTTGGAACTGACTCAAAGGCAGTGAGTTTGGTTTTTCAGAAGGGATCCCAATGTGATGGAGTAGACGTAGGAACCAGGCCTGTTCTGTCCTTGAAGGCCACAATATGAAAGGGGAGACATAGGGACCAGCCTTGTCTGGCATATTTTTAGCCCTCTGTTATTAGTGGCGAAACCAGCATTTGATTCTGTTCATATATTGAGTGAGAATGCCAATGCTCATCTCCCGAAGAGTGGGTTATGCTATCTGAAGAAGAGTAGTGGGAAGCAGGATTGGGACTATCGCAGAGTGTGGGTACAGAAAGTTCTTAAGCCCAATTTTGGGCATTTGTTACTCCCAGAATTCCTGGGATGGAAATCAGGCTTTAAGGGCAGCCCTAGACTCTTCTTTTGCCCCTGCCTGGGCCTCTAGTCCCAGGCACTAGTCAGTCTTAAAAATCTCAGAGATTTCACAATCCTCTCTTCCTGCCCCTCTTCCAGGTCCCCTCCCCTCTCCTAGAGCCCAGGCCCATGACTCAGCACATTTAGACTTCCAAGCTTGGGGGGGGGGAAGAAACCACAGCAGGGGTTCCTCAAGGGGTGGGGGGTGTTTGTTGAATGTGGGAGGCATCTGAGCAGAGATTGTGGGTATAGGCTATGCCTACCTGGTATAAGAAACTGAGCAGGCCCCATCCTGTCTCAGGGCACTTTAGGCTTGGAATATTTGTGTATGAATGTGTGTGCAGTTGAAGTGGTGTGGCAGGGAGGTCTCATCTGAGATACCAGCATCCTAGGTTGGCCATCTGCTTTCGTGTGACATGCTCTTTCTGGCCTCTATTTTACCATCTGGACAATGCAGGCTGGTGAGAGAATGAGTTGGGCTGGTGCTGTGGGCCTGTGACTATCAAGAGGGACTGGCAGGCTGAAGAATTTGGAGGGGAGTCCAACAGATGAGTCATACCTTGAGCGTAGGGGTAGGGGCTGACTTTTGAGTTCGTAGAAGTTGTCAGGATCAAGGACGTTTTCTAATTCGATGTCAGCAACAATTCCGGATTCCGGAAGCAAAGAGTTTAGGCTGAGAGTGGGGGGAAGGTAGAAGTGATGGTCAGTGGTTGTAGGGAGACCACATTCTCCTCCACTTCCAGAGAGACAGAGAGAGGGAGGGACAGGAAAACAGAGTATATCCCTCAAATTTGGCCACCCCACTTGGTACTACCACCATGAATTCCCACATCCTTTTTTCTCCCCACCCCCATATGCTGTGTGTCACACGTAATATTCAAAATAGTAAAGAGTGCCTGGACCCCACCCCCTCACTCTAACAATCACGTGTAACAAGAACCTGGGTTTGAGGAAAACAGAAATTCAGAATCTAGGAATGACAATTCACTTTATAGGATTCTGGACTTTGTATTCAGGGCCCCCCCAGCCCCCACACATCCTACTATTTTCCTGACAGCTGAATGTGAGCCCACATCTATCCACATACACACAGCATGTGGGGGCATCCCTCAACGATCCATTGTAACAAAAAACAGAATTCATCACAAAGAGGACTAAGGTCTGATTCACTTTATATAAGGATCCAGTGCTTTGCAAATGATTTTCTCCCCATTCCCACCCAGAGCGTATGGAATGCCAACACATAACTAAATACAAAATGGAAATATCAAAGGCTCCCCTTGATTTCAAAGAGGGAGAATTCTGGATTTCCAAGAGGGAGAATTTGCATAGATGATACACTTCATTTGAGCAATCTTTTCTTGGTGGGAGGAGCCTTCCCAGCCCTCTCCTGTTTTTTTTTGGATCGATCAAAACACACACACTCCCAACACCAACACACACTGACACACAAAGAAGCCATGTACACCCCTCCCTTGTAACTATTACCATTGCTATGATGATCTAGGTTGTTATAAAGGAATTATGCGATGACAAATCAATACACAGAAAAGCTCCTGCTTCATCTTCCATGCTGGATGTGAGAACCCTAGTGTGCAGGAAACACTAACACACATACACACACACACACACAGGTGGGTAAACATCTTTAAATTCAGTCAGAGATTTAGAATACTGAAATTGCAGGTGATTTTACTTGACAAGAATTCTCTCTCCCCTTCCTTCTGTCTTCCTTCCTCTCCTCACTCTCAGATGGGGCCCTAAAACCACCCAGGAAGTTGGGAAGAGGAAGCATGGGGAGGTGTTGAGCTCAGCACAAACCCAGGCAGACAGTAGGCAAAGCCCCCTCCCAGGCACACACACACCTATTTCACAGAAGTTGGAAGAGATAGGCTCTGGGTGGGCAAGAATGTGGACAGGAAGGGCTAAGACTCCCAAGGCTATTGATGGAAGTGAGGATGAGAAGAGGATTCACCAGTCAGGCATGGTGCAATTGGTGTTCATTTTTACTCTAGAGACAGATTCAAGATTACACCCAGTGAGACTGGGAGATCTAGATGAAAAGAACAAGTGTATGTGTTGGAATAGAGGGAGGGCCTTGGTGCTGGGCAGAGAGGCTAGGTCCAGTGGGGCCAGAAACAAGACCCTCGTCTGGGTTCCCAAATAAGGTCTGAGGCCTTCTCTAGGAGGCAACACTATCTCCATCCCCTTTATCTGCCTGTCTCCCATTCAAACCCCCAGGGGATTCGGGTAAGGAGCTTTTCCACTATCCCTGAGATCTGACCCTGCTGGGTGGGTGGGCAGAGGTGAAGGGATTATTCTGGTCAAAGTTTGGTGAATGTTGCTTCTCTTGCTCACTCACACACACACTAGTCTCCCAGCATACCTAAGACACCCCAAATGCCTCCAGATTTATATGATCCCCAAACACTGCCTCCTGCAACGAGCCACTGGGAGTCAAGCTCCCAAGACAACACCTCTGTCCCCCAGGACCCCTTTTCCTACGCTGAGGGAAAAGGATCCCAGGTGTCGCATCCGACAATATTCCCTCAGATGTATCCCCCTCATCCTTGACTCAACCCACTGCCATCGAGTGGATTCCAACTCATAGCAAACCTATAGGATGGAATAGAATTGTCCCATAGGGTTTCTAAGGCTGTAAATTTTTACAGAAGCAGATTGCCACATCTTTCTCCTGCGGAGAAGCTGGTGGTTTCCTCCACCCATCTTTCGGTTAGCAGATGAGCACTCTAACTACTGCGCCAGTCGAGGACCCCAAATTCAGTCTCTAACCAGAATCCCCCAAGTTCTGCTACCCAGGGCCAGTTTCTGGACAGCCAGTTTCCAGAATCAGTCCCTCCCGATCCAGTCAAAAGCTCCCCAAATCTGACCTACGCTCCCCCTTATTGCACTCTCACGACTCCTTTAAGCCTCAGTTCAAGCAGGCCACCACCGCGGGATCCCTTTAGGTGCTCCCCCTAAGATGGGTACCCTGACGTCCTCCAAGCCTAGGCTGAGGGCCTCCAATCGTAGTCTGAGGCCCCGTTGCCCTAAGATCAGGCCCCGGGGAACCCCAGCCGGCACTCCCGGCCCCAAGCGGCCCCGCACCTGAGCAGCTGGGCCGAGTCGGCCGGCCTACGCTCCTCCAACAGCACGAACACGGCTTGAGGGCCCTCCGCGCTGGCCTCTACGCCGTCCCGAGCAGGCTCGGCCGCATGAGACATGACGCCCGGCACCGGGCGAGCCCTGCCAGGCCGGTCGGGCCTCGGCCCGGTCCCCCTAACAAAATAAGAGTCCCCCTCCCCCCGCTCGCCTCTGCCTCCTCCTCCGCTAAGCCATGGAGCGAGCTGTGCGCGGGCGGGCGGCGTCGGGTAGATGGGATGGGCCGTGAGTCATCTCCCGCCCTGTACTGACCGACCCCCCCCCAACTCCGGACGACCGCCCTCCTCCGGATCGTCCTCTTCCCCTCCTCCCCGACCAGGGAAACTCCACAGGAAGTGACTGCACCAGGATGGACAGCTTGCATGGCCACACCCCTGCATGAGGCTGCCAATCGTGGAGGGGCAGCTCGCGGCCACTCCCTAAAACCACGCTTCCGACGCAGAGAGATAACTAGATTTTGCCCGCCTTCATTCCGAGAATGGGCACGTAGACCACGCCCTCAGAGGCACAGGCAAATCTCCGAGGAGTAATTTAGTGGAGTCTCACCTCTATGTTTGCGTAGCTTTGTGAGCCACGCCTCCTCTTCTCAAACTATCCCCACTCAAGAGACTATTGAGCTGCCTGTGCGTCTGCGCACTGGAGAACAGTCTGCTTGCAGAGGGTCTCCTGGCCTGCTTCTAGCAGCGGAACCGCGCCCTCTCTCGGCCAATCTTTGTGGTACCTGCGATCTAGACCACCCCCCACCTGGATCAAGCCATGCCTCCTCAGCCAAAGCCTTAACTATGAGGCAGTGGCAGCTGTATTCCCTTGAAGGAAACCCTGCACCTTAGTACCCACTATCTAGCAGTCCGGCTGGTCTTTCTGCGAGTTCTCTGCCTATTCTATGCCATCTAGAACAACTGTTTGTAAGTTCTTTGCACCATAGGTGCTTAGTAAACCGTTGACCGATGAATGAATGGATGGATGTAAAGTATGTCTGTCCCCTTCAGTGAATGACTTCTGGAATCACCCGAGTTTGTATATAGGCAGAAGATTTCCCCTTTCCAAGCCTCAGTTTTCCGGGCCTGTAAAATGGGGCACATAATACCTTTCTGGCAGGGTTGTGATGAGAATAGAGATAATTTATGAAAAATGCTAGCAGGTTGTTTGGATACAATAATCTCGCCAAAAATCCATTTGCTCATTTTCACTAACTAAACAGACATTTATTGAGCGCTTCTGTGTGTCAGATACATGCAAGCCAATTTGCACACAGCGGTGGGTCCCACCCATAGTTCAGGTGCACAGGTGGGTCACAAAACACCTGGACCTAACCTTTTCCTAACAACCCAAGGCCCCATCTATTAGCTGGACCTCCAGGAATCTCACTGAGTCCAATTTGTCTTGCACCTTTCTGTACTGACATCTTTATTTCCCAAGTCTGAGAGTCAGCTTGATAGATATACACAATGGAAAATGAATTTGCTCTGTAAACTTTCACCCAAATCACAGTAAAAATTCAAAACAAAAACATACTCATACACAAACACATTCATAGAAGGGGGGTTGTTGTTGTTATGTGCTGTGGAGTCAGACCCGACTCATAGCGACCCCTCCTTGGGTTGACTCATAGCGACCCCTCCTTGGGTTTCCGAGGCGATATCACTATGGAAGTAGATTGCCCAAACGTCCTTCCCAGGAGTGGCTGGTGGGTTTGAACCGCCAGCATTCTGGTTAGCAGTCAAGTGCCTTAGGCACTATGCTACCAGAGCCTCCAGTAATAAAAATGATATTTCTCCCACAAATTAATCTTTAAGAAATCAATACATTCCCAATAAAAAATGCTAAATGAAACGTCTATTTCTGATGTTAAAATTTCGATGGTGCTTTACTCAAATGTTTTGATCAAGGACCTAATAGGTGGATCTTGATCAAAAGGAAGAAAAAATGTGGAACAGAACTTCAAATTCTTATTGGAAACCAGACTTACTGGATACATGGACATTGAAGGAATCCCTGAATGTAAAAAAAAACCAAACAAACTTACTACCTCCAAGGGGGTAGATTGCCCAGTCTTCCTTCTGAGGAGTGGCTGCTGGGTTTGAACCTCCAACCTTCTGTTAGCAATCAAATGCTACACCACCAGAACTCCTAATCTAAAAAAGCAACTCTTAAACCTTGAAGTGAAGCTATCCCATGAAGTCATCTTTAAACTAAACATTTTAGCTCATTTAATAAAGAGTGCTCATCTTGAGCGTAGTGCTTTTTAAAATAATAATTTATGTGAGATTAAATGGACAACCAAAAAACCAAAACCAAACTCACTGCCGTAGAGTTGGATTCGACTCATAGTGAGCCCTCCTTGGGTTTCTGAGGTGATATCACTATGGAAGTATATTGCACAATCTCCCTTCCGAGGAGTGGCTGGTGGATTTGAAATGCCAGCCTTCTGGTTGGCAGTCAAATGCCTTAGGCACTGTGTTACCAAAGCTCCCAAAATAGTAATTAAAAAACGCAGATGAGGAGTTTAAGGATCAGAGAGCCTAAGAAAATGGTGGTGAAAAAATACGGGCAGAGATAGGGAAAATGATAACACAATGTGAAGTATGTAACCATCGTCAATGAGTTGTACATGTAAGAAACATTGAATGGGTGTATGTTGTATATGTTTTTACCAAAAATTTAAAAAATTCCCATGGTGCCTTAAATATATCAGAAGGAATAATTTCATAAAGGAGGAAGTCATTATTTTACCAGATTAAAAATATATTATTATGAAGCTCTAGTAATTAAAACAGTGTGCTATGGGAACAAAAATAAACTCCACAAATTGACTTGGCTATTTATGGAAATTAGTAAATGATAAAAATGATACTTTAAATCATTGTCAAGAAATGGACTGTTTAATAAAATGGTTTGGAAATAAATGATTATCTTTTGTGGGGAGATTATATGCCTGATTTACACAATTCAGAAAAAATAATTCCACATTAATTAAAGACCTAAAAATAAAACCCAAAACTATAAAAATATTAAGACAAAATATTTTTGGAGAAAATGTTTAAGACTGGGTATGGAAGAAGACATTCTAAAAAAATGCAAAGAAAAGTAGCAATAATAGTATTTATTGGTTATTGGCTATGTATTCTTCAGATTTTATCTGTATTAATTCATTTTAATCCTCACAACAGACCTTTGAGAAGGGTCTATTGTTATCCAGACTTACAGATTTAGAAGCACAAATAAACCCCTCTATCTTATCTTCTGCTCTTGACCAAGATGTATCTGACAACAGCAAAGATATCCCTTGTTCCATGAATCCAGCTTGAACTTCTGGCAGTTGCTTTTTTTTTTTTTTTCTTAAATGCATTTATTTGAAATATAATTTATGTACAGTGAAATACACAAAACTAAAGTAACATGGGTCAATGC